TAATCAAGGTACTTGGGCAAAGAGTCAATATTTGAGCTTACCTGGTGTGTTATTTTCTTGTTGTTGTGATAAAATATCCTGGTGGGGGGGCAATTTAAGAGGCAGACCAAGACCATTATAGAAAACCACAAACCAATCAAAATGCAGAGTGGTGAAGGAAGAGTGATCCCAACTGATAACATCTGCAGAACAATGCACCTAAGACTTAGGGATTGAAAGGACCAAGCAGATGCCATAACAGGCTGCTCTCTTAATAGTCTTCTCTCAGAGATCAGGCCTCAATTTCAGTTTCCTGAGACTGAGCAAGCAGTCTCTGGGAGTGCTGTGAACAAAAGACATAGTCCTTGCAGTAGCTCCCTTTCTGCACATACTCTGACTGCTCAAAGTTCAGCCAGATGTTTACTGTCTGGGACCCCTCACCAACTTAGAGTTATGTGCATGAGTCAAGGACAGAGCCTAGACCACTGAGCCAGCCCCCACAGTCAGTCCATGCTAGGCCAGCCAGCCCCCATGGCAGCTCAAGGACAAAGCCTGGTACTTGTGTCAGATTGCCCCCAAAATGATAATTGTAACCCTCAAACAGTAAATCCAAAGGTTACATACCCTCACCCAATTAAAAGAGAACACAGACCTTCAAAAAATAAAAAATAAACCAATCCCAGTTGCACCGGTGCCAACCCCCCCCCCCCCCCCGCAACTTCCCTGAAGGGCTTGTGGTTTTTGCCTTTAAATAGCTAGCCTCACAAAGAAAGAGCAACTCCTCCCTGCCTCACTCTATTGGGTGTAGGAATGAGTTCCCTGTCTAGATTTATATCTATGGAATAAACCTTGCTGTTGCATTCTGGACATCCATGGTCTTCAGTGGTCTCTTTGGGGTCATGATCTGGGCATAACAGGGATCATCTAGAAAGAGGAGGCAGAAAGATGGTTAAGAGCCAGAAGAACAGAGAGTTTGCTGTGAGATTGTGTCTACTAGAAATGTCAGAGATGCTACATCCACAGTCTCATCAACATGGCTGCCTAATCATTACCTGAACAAGGATGACACCAACAGATGTGATAATATGGAGGATAGAAAGCTCCTGAGGCCTCAACCCTAGACAAAGGACCAATAGGCAACTGAAGGGCACACCCATTGGTTATCTGATACCAAATGGTCAACCTGGAAAGCACATACATACAATTAACATTATACAGATGGAGCCGGTTGTATTTATGCATTTAGGAATATATATCAACAAGTAAAGAAAAAGATGCCTTGAATTTGAATGAGATCAAGAGGGAGTACATGGAAGGGTTTTGAGGGAGGTAAGGAAAGGGGGAAATGTGATTATATTATCTCAAAAATTTTAATTATAACTTTAAAAAAGCAATTTAAGAGAGACAGGGCTTATTTTGGCTTACCGTTTCAGGGACTAGTGGAAGGCAAGGCATGTCAGCAGGCAGGGATGGTGTGGTACAGAGTAAGGAAGCAAACTGACTGGTTACATGGTTACCTCTAGAATCCGGAAACAGGGATGAAGAGGAAGTGGGACGAGGCTATAAAGCTTCAAGGTCTACCCCCAGTGACCCACTTCCTTTGGAAGGTTCCACAAACTTGCCAAACTGTGTGACTAGTACATTGCAAACACACAAGCCTACGGGAGCTGTCTTACATTCAAAGCACATCTGAGAAACATACCTAGTGGTTACAATCCAACATGGGGCAAGTGTGGCCAACAAATATCCTGGACACAGCTGTGAATAGCTCTTTGCAATAAGAATGCTGTGGTCATTGTGACCTCTGTACTCAAAACAATTACATTCTCTTGCATTGCTGCACTTGAGAATTTAAAATAATAGTAAAATAACAAGAAGGTAATGGGTGGCCACTACTTTGAACATCTTTGATCACTAAGAGTGGGGCTGCAGTAACACAAACTCCTGCAAGAAAGAACTGTGGGCCGTTGCAGTACATTGAGCTCCATGGAGACAGCGCCGGGGCGAGTGAGAGCCGGACGGGCACTGGGCGACTCTGTGCCTCGCCGAGGAAAATCAACTAAACATGGGCAAAGGAGATCCTAAGAAGCCGAGAGGCAAAATGCCTTCCTATGGATTCTTTGTGCAAACTTGTCGGAACACAAGAAGAAGCACCAGGATGCTTCTGTCAACTTCTCCGAGTTCCCGAGGAAGTGCTCAGAAAGGTGGAAGACCATGTCTGCTAAAGAAAAGGGGAAATTTGAAGACATGGCAAAGGCTGACAAGGCTCGTTGTGCAAGAGAAATGAAAAGCTACAGGACGACTTCAACCTATAGAACAACCTTTTCAAGCCATATCCTGAAAACAGTAGCATCTTTCTGATGCAGTTTA